AAATCGGTTTTCTTTGATTCAGCCAACTAATTGTTCCGCACTTTAAAGGATTAGTGCCTTTCACCATTACAGGAAAACTCTTACATATGTTATTTATTATTATTACTTTATATGTATGTAAGTGTTAGTTCGTTTTAAAAAATGGGATAACTGGCAGCCTGAATTGAAATGGTCGGAAGATCAAAAGTCACTGGCGATTGGACATAATTGACAGCGTTGGAATTTCAGGATTACAGGATCTGAATTTGACTTTATTTCATTTGAAAATTTATCCTTGAATTTTTATTTTAAGCGATTTTACGTCATTACGTCACCAAGCAATTCAATTCATTTTCCAACTCGTTCGACATAAATTTTTCAGGTCACTTGGCTTGACAACCACATACATATGTATGTAAATTAGAGTGGTCCAATTTTTCAATCCATTCATTTCAATCCATTTTCAAATTTCATCCTAGAAAACGGGACACCTCCTTATTTTTTCCCTTTGATATTTGTAATACCTATACCAACTTTAAATTTTCTACTGTAACCAATATAGGGTGATCAATGACCTTGAAATGCGCTACTGGATCGCTGTGAAACTGGCAGAAATATTGGTGACTTTTATAAAATGCTACTGTTGCCAACACAACTGAAGCTTGTGGTATCTTTTTAGATAATTTAAATTTGAAATGTTCTTAGGTTTATTAACCAATTGTTTGATTAATATATGTACACAATACTTCTAGAGTTAAATATGAGCATGCTCTAAACTTATACTAGAAACGTAAAGTTTGGTACCAGCACCTCCTTCGGCAAGAGGAAACATTTTGGAAGGTGCCCCAAGACCTATCTCGAAAAACATTTGGACCACTCTAATGTACATACATGTGTACATCCCTAATCCGTATGTAAATTTTTAGACAGTATAAATTGAAAAATCTTATCTGCAAAATATGTGCAACCATAAATGCATACATACATTCGAATTTGTTGTTTAAGAAAGTTTGACCTGGGGCTCCATGTCCCAATGGGAATTAGTAGGTACTAATGGCATTTTCTTTTCTCGAAAAAAAATTTCGCCTTCTTATATGGCAACTTTATCAGAGTGCAAGATTTTAAAGAAAGACCACGCAATATGCATGTGAAGATGCTGAGAAAAGAACACGACAACTTGACAGCCGTGGCGCAGGGCAGAATATAGGCAACATTATTTCGAGAAAAGAAAACTCTATAAGTTTAATTTGATGTATGTGCGAATTTGTTCGATTGCGATTTGTCCGACTCATGAAACCCACGCTGGCTGGCGGCGAAATGTGCATAGCTTGTAAGTATGTATTTTGAAAAATCTTGAAAACTGCTGACCGGGGTACTTTAATGCCAGATCATCCTAAAAATATAAATGGGTTCGTCACAATACATACATATATACATATGTGTTTTATTTGCCTGAAAGTGCTGCTCAGATACGAACACTCGCACACACACAAGGCACATAACGCTGTATGCATGTTGTGCGTACGTTTCCGCTTGCAACCATTTTTTTCAGTTCAATCTCTTCTTTTCTTTCTTCATGATTGCGTATACTTGCAATAGTGTTCTTTACTTTTCCCATTTCCGCCCGCATTTAAGAAGATCAATTTTTTAACCCAAACTTCTGTACGCAGTCATAAATACATCCCTGCAGTGAAAAGCCAAACCAGTTAGAAAAAATACTAGTTCATTAACTATTATGTGCCTACCAGTTCGACAATTTCGAAGAACTTAGGCGATCAGCGACATCTGCCTTTGAATTGCCAAAGCCAAAAATAAAACGCAATGAATTGCTTTTCTTAAAAATGTCGGCTGTGGCGTCACGTGAAGACTTCTGGTTCTGGTTCTGAAATCGCAGGTTCGAGGCCGCTTGGAGGTGGTAAAGATTTTTAAAGTTAAATAAATGTAAGTAAAAATAATTTATTCAGTTTATAAATAAATAACAAATTTGAAAATCTAATTGCATTGCAAAAAAGCATTTAGGAAGAAATATAAAAACAAAGAAATTAAACAAAATTTTTTTTTTTTATTAAATTTAAAAATTACAATAAACAGCATAAACAAAAAAATAAATTTATAAAAAAATAAAAATAAAATAAAAAATAGAAAATAAAAAAGTTTCCCTGCGCCAGGATTTGAACCTGGGACCTCAGGCTAACCATGCGAGTGCTCTGCTCTGTCGGCCATTGTGACTGCTGGAGCGTCGCGAGCAAAAAGGCACTCTTATGCTTTTCACGGGGCATGAATTGGCAGACTATCTCATCAACTGGTATGATGCTACTAGTATTTATACTAGTAGATGCTGATGCATAGCCTGACAATTGACATCTCGTAGGACATC